CACACACGTATACACATGTACACACACACAACAGCTGATGCCCTGCTCCGCCCTGTGCCCACATGGACAGATGTGAACACACACACCCCACACAACACCCGATGCCCTGCTCTGCCCTGTGCCCATGTTGTACACACATGTACACTCATGAACACACTACACAACAGCTGATGCCCTGGCTCTGCCTCGTGCCCACATGTTGTACACCATGCACACACACACACCCCACACAACACCCAATGCCCTGCTCTGCCCCGTGCCCACATGTTGTATACACATGTACACTCATGCACACACCACATAACACCTGATGCCCTGGTCTGCCCTGTGCACATATGTGTACACACATTTGTGCACACATGTTATAGAATAATCTTTTTGTACACTGTGAAGATGTGTCTTTGTCAAACACTTCCTGATTGTTTTAATAAAAGGCTGACTGGCCAATAGTGAGGCAGAGGTTAAGTGGGAGAATCAAACTGAGAGTGCTGGGAAGAAGGGCAGAGTCCCAAGGAGTCACCGAAGGCATGGATCGAAAAAAAGGTACCAAGTCATGTGGTAGATTATAGATAAGAAATATGGGTTAATTTAAGTTTTAAGAGCTAGTTAGTAATAAGTATAAGCTATGAGTCAAGCATTTATAATTAATAGTAAGTCTCTGTGTGGCTTTGGGAGCTGGCTGGCGGGGCAGGCACACATGGCCTGATATCCTGCTCTACCCTGTCCCCACATGTGGACACGTGCACACACAACACCTGATGTCCTGCTCTACCCTGTCCCCACATGTGGACATGTGCACACACACCACATCACACAATACAAACACCCACAGAAGCCTGGACTGCAGCTTCTCCTCATCACCTTGTCACTGGCTATGGAGTGAGACTATCTCAAACCGGAACAAAAGCCGGGTGCTGGTGGATCGAGCCTTTAATCCCAGCACTTGAGAGGCAGAGGCAGGCAGATTTCTGTGAGTTTGAGGTCATCCTGGTCTACAGGGCGAGTTCCTGGGCAGACAGGGCTACACCCAGAAATTTTATAATTGTATCTCTAAAAGAAAAAAAAAAAGGAAGAAAGAAAGAAAACAAAGAAAAAAACAAAAACATAGCTGTGAAATGACAGGGATGTTGTCATCTAGACCCTGGGGACAGATCTGTCACCAGGGTGTCATGGGATCCTGCGCCTGCTCAACTCTACGGGTGCACAGTCTCCAAGAAGCTGTGGGGCTCTGCCCCGCCCCCTCACTCTCCTTGCTCTCACAAGGCTACCTTATCTACTTTACTTTTCTCAGTTTAGTTTTTTTAGAGACAGGGTCTCCTGTAGTTGAGGCTGACCTTGAACTCCTGACCCTTCCACCTCAGCCTCCTGAAAGCTGAAGGAAAAGTGCGTGCAACAGCACCCAGCCACCTCTAGTGACCTCATCAGATCCCATCACAGAGTCCTTTCACAGAAAAGCCCACTGCCAGGTCTGGGGGCTGCCACCACACCCTGGAGGAGCTTCTAGAGGGGGGCAGTAATGAGGATGCCACCCCTATTCTCTTGACAACAGCTTGGGGTGTTTCCTCTGCAAAGGTCACAGATGGTAACAGACAGCCCTGGTAGCCGGCAGCAAGGGATAATTTTAAAGGGCCAGCTAGATGGCTCAGCGGGTATGAAGGTGATTGCTGCCAAGCCTGATGACCTGAGTTTGATCTCCAGGACTCACCTGAGAGAAGGCAAGGACCAGTTCCAGCAAGCTGTCCTCTGATCTCCACACATGTGCTATGGCGCACACACACAGAGTGAATAACAAATGTTCCAGGCCCTATTCTCAACAAAGCCACCCCTGTCCCAGGTAAAGGCCAGAATGCCACCACTCAGTCCAGGCAGGGACATCCTGTATTACTATTTCTGTGAGGAGAAGGCCTTGCTGTGTGGTCTAGCCTGGCCTCAAATACCTTGTCTCTAGGATCCTCATGCTTCGGTCTGCAGAGCATCCGGGACATCAGATGCGTACCTCCACACCTAGCTGACTAAAGATATTCTGTGGCCCAGGTCCTGTGGCCTAAGATACTCAGTCACACCAGGAACCCAGTGTCCCAAGCTGATGGTCAGCAGGTAACACACACACTACTCCATTGCTACTCCATGCTCACCAGTTGCCTGCCCCCTTGCTCAGGTCACCAGGCCTCTCTCTGCATGGGCTACACAGCCACTTGGCCCTAGCCATCTTCCTGGGACACAGGGATCGGGACATGTGGCAGAGACACTGAGTCGAAGGGTGCAGGTCCTAAGGCGCCAAGCGCTGAGGATCCCCAAGTGTTTAGTACAACAGACCAACTAATTCAGCACCATCCCCCAGAGCCAGGAGCAGCAGGGCTGCAGGCACAAGCTGGTGAAACAGCTCGGCAGGTGGAGGGGAAGGGGCTTGCTGCCAAGCTGAATGGCCCAAATTGGGACCCTGGGACCCACATGATGGAGAGAGCCAGCTCCCACAGCTTGGTGACTGACCTCCCAGCTAGGACTCGCAAAATAAATCAATAATGTTAAATTTGTAAATTTTGTCTTTTTTTTTCTTTCTTATTTTTGTGTGTGGATATGGATTGTGTGCACATACATGTGCAGAAACTACAGGCCAGCCTTAGGCATTGTTCTTTAGGAGCCTTCAAATTGTTTATTTTTCAAGACAGGGTTTCTATGTGTAGCTCTGGCTGTCCTCGAACTCACTATGTAGACCAGGCTGGCCTTAAATTCCTCCTGCTTCCCGAGTGCTGGGATTAAAGGCATGCCCAGTCATTTTTACTTTCTTTTTTTTTTTTTTTTTTTTAAATATTTATTTATTTTGTATAC